CATAGCCTAGAAAGACGCCGCTTAAAATCTTTGTGTTGTTTACTCTGTAGGATGTCCATCGCCAACAAATATTTTGTCACAAATCTCTCGGCAGCAAGACTGTAACAGAAAGGGATTACAATGGATCACTGTCATAGAAAGATACAGCCAAAACTGGCCAGGTTATGTTTCCCACGTACTTTTTTTTTTGGGATTTGATAGTCGATTTAAGCTGGTAAAGCTGGTAGGTGCGTGGCCACACCTTTCCTTGTACGCAAGCGTTTCATACTCAAACTTAGATAGACATGCACTCAACACCTAAATCTACCTCATCACTCTAAGCAACATATGATAGTCTGCGGTATTTTCCTACACCAAGACAGTCCGGCTGCAAAACTCCTGACCAAAAATTACCTTTCAAATCGGCACTCTTAATCCTCGAAGTGACAACAATGCTTTTCATTCAATAATTCATTCTTGTGTTTTTCATTCACCATGTTCCCTCCAATGGCGTAGCTCCATTTTTCAGTACATAAACCACATAAAACTCAAAATTCCTCTCTTCGCTCTGACGAAGGGCCAACGCTCGAAAGGTCAGCTCAAGAAACTTTTTTGGAGGCCAATTTATAATATCAACTTAGTTAATGAAGCCAAATCATTATCTCGTGATACCCTCCCCGCTCACCGAAGCAGCACCACAGTTTACCCCCTTATTTTTGTTTGAGATTGGCCCAACGCAGAAATGTTCGTAACAAACAATTAAACTTAAAAGTCTCAGTCTTTGTGTATTAGGTGTGTTTGCATGGTTCATTCCGCCACGGATTTGTCGCAATCATGGAAATTTACTTTGCAACAACCAATTTAAGTTTGACAAGAATTGCAAAATTTGAATTGGTACTTAGAATTTCGGGATAACGTAAATAAACCGTGCTGCAATCTAAAGAAAGAGATTCTCACGCAGTTTGGGTTGCTTGAAATGTTTTAGTTCTAGACATCGACAGGTACAATGTGCACAATTTCATAACTTGTTTTGTTCATCCAGACTAGGGATGTAGGTGCGACATTCTGTAGGTGCGCGTTTGTCGTGATAGTTTACACCTTTTCTGTTTATAACATTCTTTTACATTAGAACAGATAACGCTCTCAAGAAAAAAAGCTCGATTTATTTCTACGAATAGCATATAAGATGAAGTTCCAAGCCTGTTAGTTTTTTTAGTTTTCTCTGATCTCTATCCACAGATTTCTTTAAAATCAGTTGGCAAATATGATGTTAGGGAAAGGAATTTTTTTTTCATTTGTTAGGGAACGCTTCTTTGAATCCACTTCGCGGAATTTTTTAAAATCAGTTTTCAGAATGTTCTTCTTTTCTTTTCAGAACAAATATCTATAAAAAGAGAAACTTCAATCGAGTTACTATATGATTCATAAAAGGTGAAAAACAGGAACAGTTCTTTCTTAACGTCACCAAAGAACGATATTTGATACATTTTAGTTCTCGATAGAGATACAAAATATTTTTTGAATAATTTACACGCAACGGTTTTCATCAAGAGTAATCATTACGAGCCACCTTAAAATTATAACTCAGAAGAAACATGATCTTATCGTCATTCTGCGAATATCGATCTAAGTGTCATTAAAGCCAACAATCACTTTTATAAAAGCCATTAGGAATAAAGGAAAATATCACCGCGTAATTATGACAGCCAATAAGAGTAAAGAAAAATATCACCGCGTAGTTAGAACAGCCAATAAGAGTAAAGGAAAATATCACCGCGTGATTATGACAGCCAATAAGAGTAAAGGAAAATATCACCGCGCAATACGAACAGCGAACAAGAGTAAAGGAAAATATCACCGCCTTAATTATAATAGCCAACAAGTGAAGAGGAAAACATCACAAGAAGCCGATTAGTACTCTATGTTAAGACAAACAATCCGTAAGAAGCGCGGGAAAACACAGGTGACCAAGTCGTGCTGAGTTTCAGTTTGGAATCTAATTGGTCGAGAGGATGGTGTGAGTTTAGAGATGTAGATCAAAACCCCAGGTAATCCCAGATAACTGGAGATGCTCAATTACAAGCCATTACTTGTTTCTTAACCAGTAAAGCTAGGTGCTTTTTGGAATCCACTTCGACAAGGCAAAAACCTCTTAAGAATAGGGGTACTAAGAAAAATTACAGAGGTACGGAGCCCAGTTGGTGTCATTTAGTATTTCTCATCGACTTTATCTTTCATCACCTTAGCTTCAATTTCACTTTTCGTGCACAAGTTATGACTTTTACCAGCAAGACTTTTTACTGGTCGGCAGAATAAGAAGTGCGCACGTATCTCGGAATACCAGGACGACGGACGAAGTGGATGTGATACTATTTACATACTTTAGCCTCAGTTCTTTAGCCTCAGTTCTTTAGCCTCAGTTCTTTAGCCCAGTCAGTCTATTCACATTTTTTTCCTCTTTTATTTTTTTCATTTTTATTCATTCTTATTCATTTGAAAGTTGCAAAAGAAGAGGCTAGTTCCCAACACCATTCACCAGTTTTTAATTACTGGTTTTTAAATGCTATATCTTTTTAACGAAGAGTCATGTTACGAGTGTGTTTTATCTTGCGTTCACCTTCGCGTTCGAGACACTCGGAAAAGTAATTTAGCCAGGAGTGCGTCGTAACCAACCTCGTTCCAAAGGCCTTTTTCCTTAATTGGGGGCCCTGGGAACGAGGTTGCGTCATAACAGTTCCGCAGATTTTTTGATACATAACAGTCACTTTTGGTTGGTAGATAGGTCATCTGCTTATCATTGATTCCCTACGGTTAAATAGAAGTTGTTTGTCTGTAATTCAACAGTGCCTACAAATGTTTACCTTAAGATTGAATTTCACTCTATCCAAATTTTATGGGCAGTAGGTATTTCAGTCAATAGGAACAGATTTAAAGAAGACAATGAACCAATCATGCAGATGTGGACGTGCGAGTCAGTCATGTCTGAATTCATTACTTTTTTTTTATATTGATAAGTCAGTAAACTGTCACAGAGCAGAGCTTAATTCATGTAAATGCAAATATTTATCCACAACTGAAAACTGCGTCATTTTGTAATGATATTCCATCACTCCGCTCTTCTGCCGTTCCTTCATCGTTTTGATTTAAATTACGCTTCGGTGGGCGCCACTGTTAAGTTATTTTGAGATTTTTATCGTCATGGCAAGAACTGAACATATTATGCCTTCGGATCTACATAATGCACTGATTTAAAAGGTAAAAAGCTTGCTCTTCAAAGAAATTATATCCCCTCTGAGTTTCACGATGCGCCGATCACACCACCAGAATTTTGTTTTTAATCACACACAAATCTGAAATAACTGTGAAATGTTTATTGTCTTCTGCTGTCTTTTTTAGTGTCACGGCCAGAACTGAAAACATAATGAGGTAGTAGCTTTTAAGCCTGAAATCATTAAAGGAGAGAACTCAAGTGTGCATCGCGTGCAAATGTCGAACTAAAAACAGACTCCGAAAAAAACAAAACAATAAGCAGCATCGGGAAATTAAGTGAGGATGGGAATTCTACTTTTACCTATTTCACTCACTCACTCGTTCTCGTACCATAGTGGCTTCGCCTCCTATTACATAGGAGGCAGTTGGGACAATAAGAACAAGGATTCTAACATAATGTGTTCGTGGCTATAACCCAGAAATCACAAAAGGAGAGAACTCAACTGTGTATCGAGTGCGAATGTCGAACTACTTAAATACTCCGAGCAAACATCATGTCAAAATTGGGTCATCTCGACAACCTATGTGGCTTCGTCTCCTAGCAACAAAAGGTAAAAAAAACGTGCCGAAAAAGTCGAAAATTGAAGGTATTCGAAAGAGAAACTGAGGCGGTGAAAATAAATTTGATGACAAATATTAGATGGCACTAGCTGGGCTCCATACAGAAGGTCATCTTTGATTTAATCTCGGAAAATATTTCCGCCCTAGTGGGACAAACTGAATAGCACAAGGATTCATAATGATAGTGTTTGCGATAGAAAAGAGACAATCCTAGCCATTCACAGCACTTTTATCAATTGATTTTTGTAAAACCAAAAGCAATGTAATTAAAAATGTAAGATTGGTGGAAATATTACATGATGGGAACTCAAAGTGAAAACATGGATTGCTTAAAGCGCGAGAGAACGCTAGTGTCCGAGTGACTTGAATTCGATTGGTGGAGAGAGTAGCGTAAGTTTTTCTGGGCCAATCAGAAAGTGAAGTGAAGGAAATCCAACGCAAAATGCATAAGATATCTTGCGACACTCGCTTGAAAATGGCCCTGAAAGCATCCTGTCTTGAATTACTGAGTTCACTGCGAAATATAGCTCTGAGGAAGGTTGAGAGAATTTAAGAGGTAGCTACTTTGACTTAACTGCTAAATTTGTACATACGTCAGATACAACCTACCTGAACCTGGTGTATATATAATCTTTTGGAATTCTGGGAAAGAATAGCTTTAAAGAGGTCAAGAGTTGGTTTGGATTTCTAGAGATTTTACCTGCTCCAACATGAAAATTTTTTGTCGATGGATGCATAATTAATCAGCGATTACTTCAGTTCAAAGTATACTCAGCCTTTTTGACTTAATCGTTTCTTTTTTCTTACAGGTGCGAAACTTGATCTCAGAAGATTAGAGAAAATGACGATATTAAGCGATAAATGAATTTACTGAGTGAAATAAAGTTTCTGAAACGTCCCATTTAGATACATCCGTCGATCGTCGTCCAAGAAAGCGATTTTGCGAGAAGTTATTAATAGCAAGTTTGTGCGTTCAAAAGGGCAGCTCGTAGTCACGAAAGAAAAAAAACTAAGTCTTTTGGTGAAATGTTTTCTTTGGACAGCTTTGGGGCTAAAATAAGTCTTCCTGTGGTAAAAACCCCGTCTATGGAAAAAGAATCTGGGTTTTTGATCTGCGTCCAGTGTTGATTCAAGTCTTTTGGCGGAAAAACTCTTGCACCGCGAAAACGATTTTCTCCCATTCAAAAGTCCAAGTATGAATTGTTTTAAACACTAAACGCTTTCTAAATCTGCAGAATTTTTTTTCCTCTCGGCAACACTCCATACGCAAAAAAAAGTAAAAGAGAGCCTATATTTTGACTTGTTACCAGGCTCTTTTAAAAGCGCGAATTTTTTGTATGTTTGTACGCTCATTGAAAGACAATGAAGAGGAGGAAAAGACAATATAGTGTTATTAATGCTTTTATTTGTTTTATTTCATTATACTAATTTCCACAACAAGTGGAAGCGTTTACAGTATTCGACAAGCATGATAAAACATGTTACAAACGCAATGAACTGAATAAGTCTGACAGGCGGGAAAATAAGATATTAAGATATATACAAGGCTAAAAGATTAAGAAAAAATTATTAAAATGTTTAAACCAAACGTTTTCGGCTGTTTGTCCCCATGAACCCTGATTTTATTAAGCGAACATTATGGACAGGCGGGAAAATATTGATATTAAAAAGGGAGGACAGATTTTTTGTTAAACAAGTTTTATCATGAAAATTAGTATAAACTATTGGTGTTCTTCGAAAAGAAAAAAAACACTAAGTCAAAATACGAGCAAAAATTGACTAAACGAGAAAAACTACAAACTGATTGTAAGTAGTGGACTTAAGTATGGAATCCTTTGTAATGCGAGGTTATCGCGCCAAAAAAGTTAAAACATACTTTCATAGCATAATCTTTTACACGTTCTCGTATCAGCTGTGATATCGACCTAGAATTGAAGCTACTCTTTTGGGCAGAAGATATCCAAATCATCAACTAAATCTGCTCGTGATGACCTTAACGTTTGCATCTTGCAATTAGACTTGAAATTTTATTCAAGGTTAGACAATCTTTTCCTGCCGAACTTGATTTGAAAGATTTGTTCCTTTTTAGAAACCAAAATTGTGAACTATTTTCCAAGAAATGTTTTGCTCTAAACAGACGAAAAACTATTTCGTGGCGTGATTACGTTACAGTGTTACAGTTTTTACCTCTGAAATCGACTATCAATTGTCTATTTTTCAACATATCTGAATTATCATCACGAATGATTTCAATCTCGTCCTCAGTCTTTCACCGTGTTAGCTGTCCGCGTCAGCCAAGGCCAATGAGACAACTGCAAAAGAAAACAACCAAGCATGTCAAACATATCGATGAAATTAAATTTGCTTAAAGAATGATTACACGAAATAAAGCACATTTCATTTTGACCCTCTTGTTTTATAGTTAAGAATTTGTTGATCATAAATATTAGAAGAATAAAACTACTGCGTTCCGAAGTCATCTCGACTCCATTATCAAGTAGGGGTGTTAGTTGTAGTTTCGAGATTAACTGCAAACAAAGGTGATAGAGTACATTCGAGTGATAAGTGTTTCGTTTTCATTGGTGTTTGACGTGTCAGTGCGTGCGGTATATGTTTAAATAAATACTTTTGCACGTATTGAGTCCGATTGCGTGTTTAACTTCGGTTTCCGTTCACGAATAAATAGCATTTCCTGACTAAGACAGGACTTATTACAAGGATTTGTTAGAATTCCGATCATTCTTTGTTGGTATCGAGAGTCCGTGTAAATAGAAAGAAAGTCTTAAAATGCGATCTAACAGACCATAATAAACTTTTTCTTTTTGATAAAGAGGTGTAAATATTTACCCTTAGTTAGAGCATATTTTTTAAGGTTCGCTACCATAATTCTAATTGCTTTAAAGCTTTTATAGGTTAGCCCAACTTCCGTATTAAAGTCGATTAATTAGCGTAAATGGGGCCTAGTTTATATCCGAGCTTTTGCTTAAATATAAAATGTTTGTTGTCAGATAATTTTTGTTATCCCCCTCTCACGTAACATATTTATTTCTGTCAAGGTAATTTGGTCTTATCAGCTAAATTGAAATTGTAAATTGGCCACC